TCACCCCTCAATGCCTTAACAAAGCTCCACGCTCTTCTCCCCATGCCATGATTAATCTCATCAATTTTTTCATTAAAGTTCTCTTTTTTGGCCATTTTGACCTCTTTTTTCCAAATTTTACGCTGTTCGATGAGATTTTCTAAGTTTTCCGGACTTGGAATCTGCCTAGCTTTTTTATGAGTAATTATAAGGAATCTATAGATTTTGGCTAACTTCTCATTCCACCAGGATTTTGGTACTCTCTCATTTCTAGTGGTATACGTTGCATTGCTAATTTCCTCCTGAATTTTGAACTCCAGGTCATGAATATTGGAATCACACTCAATCTCATTCAAAGAACTCAGTAACTTCTTTTTAGCCATGAACCTTTTTGGAGTTTTAATTATCGCATTAGTATCCAGAGTTATGGGAAAGTGATGACTTCCCCCAATACGAATGGGATCAACAGACCAATTACATCGTATTGAACTATTACTGAAAGCAAGATCAAGTACAGAACCACTCTCAGACCTGATGTCCCTTTTGTAGGTACAACTACCACCATTAAGGCTATTAAAGAAGGAGTTCTGGATGATATTCGTCAGATGCTTACCTCGGTTGGAATCTATACTATCACCCCAGGCAACTGCTCTGGCGTTAAAATCACCAATTAAAAACACATTATTATAAGGTTCTAAAAAGTTTAACATTCTGGTCACTTCATTGTTGAAGTCACCAATGCCAATATTAGGGGGAAAATAAATGCTGCAGATGATGATGTTGGGATTTAAATTTTTGGTTTCTATGATAAGAATATCATAGACAGAGGAGAAAGGAATTTTTTTAAAGGTAATATCTTTTTTTACAGCAATTGCAACACCACCATAACCGTCAGGGCGATATTTTTTAACCAGATTAAAATTAATAGGTTTTCTGTGCGGAGTGCGACTGGAAAGAAAGATTTCACTAAAACAGGCAAAATCAAATTCATATTTATGCAGGTAATATTCTATTGAATCTAAGTTGGCTCGAAGGGATTGACAGTTATACTGCAGGGGACAGTAAAAGTTTCCTGAACAATGTCTGTTTTTTCCTATTGACAAAGGTAGAAGCAAAGAGGTTCGGGTGATTCCGTGAGTATTCCAAAAAGGAGTTATACCAAATGTTGTACAAGTCATCTTTTATCTGCTTGGTTGCTTCGTCCATCGTGAGTCTGTAATTTCTGCTAGAACTATTTATCGTTGCATTTTTGGCAATTTCGTCAGCTTTCTCATTGCCTGAAATCCCTTTATGGCTAGGCGTCCATACAATGTCTATTGGGAAATTTGCTTCAGATGCTTTCCTGAAAATCCCACAGGCAATACTATTTGTGGTTTTGGGTTGTTTGAGTATTTGACAAGAAATTACACGGTCAGTGAATATGGCCAGCTTGCAATACCTCTTCCTTTTTGCTATTTCAATCGCTTCATCTATGGCAAGGAGCTCACCAAAGGATGATGAAGACTTAATAGGGATATGAAATGCATGTTCAGAATTGTCAGAGAGGTCAAAAATGCCACAACCAGTTGTTTGATCCGCTAAAGACGCATCAGTGTACATGATCTGATAATCATCCGCCAAATAGTCATTCAAGAGCTTGCATTAAGCGCTTTGAGATACTCAGACGTTAAGGAGGCTTTATTGCCTGTAAAGGTTTTCAGAAAGATTTTAATATTAGGAGGTGAGGAACAGCAGTCAACCGCATCAAGACGGTCAAAAATGTGTTGATACTGTCGGTATACTGTAGAGTAACTTGAGTTTAAACCTGGATTTTCTGTGATGGAATTAGCCAGAGGAGTATTATGGATAAAGATCTTAATCAGCTCTTTTGCAGTGAGCCACCGAGAACGCTCAGGAAGTGGGAGCTCATTCGCAATGGCGTAGATGGTGGAAACGGGGGTTGAGGGAGTGAGGCCAAGACATCTTCTTAGAAATTTATTTTGGAGTACTGTAATTTTGTTGAAAGCCGTTTTGGCACTGTTGGCAGCTGTAGTGTAACCATACTCAATCTTTGAGCGAACTATGGATTTATAGATATTTAAAGCCTTCTGAGGTTACACTCAGCGTCAAAAATGCATAGTTTGTCTTGTAGGTTATCTACCGCGTCCTCGAACTGGCTTCCAGCAGAGATGCACAAAAAATCATCTGCGAACTGATAGATAAAAGTGTTTGAATCACTGGGGTCGTGAAGCTGAGCAGTATAGATATTGAAAAGTATGGGAGAGAGGACACTACCTTGAGGTAGGCCATTATAAATCTCAGTGCTACAGTTGCCCAGTTGCAAAATTCTGTAGGAGAGAAATTTAGTAATCCATTGAATGTATAGATTGTCAACTTGCAGATTATTGAGCTGACCTTTAAGTACGCCAATGTCAACACAGTTGTAGGCATTTGAGAGGTCGCTAGAGCAGAGGATTACCTGTGATTTTCTACTTTTTAATATGTGAATTTGATGTAGCATTTGGTTTAGGCAAATCGAGGTTGATCTATTTTTCCTGTAGGCAAAGGTAGAATTGGGAAGAATGTTATTGGATTCAAGGAAATCATTTAATCTATTTTTAATACAAGTGTTAATGGTTTTAAGCATGACAGAGATTAGGGAAATTGGCCTGAAATTCCAGAAGCAGCTCAAATCCCTGCCTTTTTTTGGAATCGGTAAAATTTTAATTTTTCGCCAATGGTGCGGAATTTGGTTGACTAGAAAGATATCATTTATGCCTGTTCTGAA